CTTCGCCTATATAATGTAAAACCTGGGCACACTGTATAGATTCATCTTTTTTATTAATTTCGCTGGCTACCAGATAGTTTTCGAATCTAGACCTCCATATTTTCCAATTGTCGGCCACATTTCCCTCCAACTGCATAGGAGCCACGCCTCGGCTATCACCCATTTTAATTTCTGAATTTCGTAGAATTTGAAGTTACCACAACTGCGCCATGTAACGTTATGTTTTCTTTTGTATTTAAGTAAAACACAATATTATTCCCGAAGTTATAAACTTCTTATTTATTTAACATGCAGCTCTGTGAGTCCGCCATGTTCATTACTTTTCAACAACCGACTCCCATAGATTATATATAAAAGCTATTTCGTAATTACATAAAGTATCTGTGGTTGCCTACCCCACACACAGTAGCTTTTTAAAGACAATTTTTTTTTCTAATAACCGATTTCTGCTAAAGCCAAACCCAAATTTTGAAGGGGAAAGTTACTATAAGTGAGACATATTTTAATGCTAAAAAAGTGTCGACAGATTCCTTAGGTACGTGCATAATATGCACGTCCCTGGTAAATTTTTGAAAAATAATGAGACAACATTTACTTTACCTTTAATACCATTCTTTGTAACAAAACTTACGAACCAAAGTAATATCAATGCGTCTCGAATGGTAGTCTCAAAGCTGTCTTTGAGACTATGGTAGTCTGGTCTAAAAATTGTAGTCTCAAAACTTACTTTGTTAATGTGGCTAAAAATTTAGTGAATACCATAACTCCTTCCCATGATTCACATTCATATCTCTCATCATTCATATCATCATCATTCATATCATCATCTAAAGCAAATGAGAATTTACACAGTTTCTTCCTCACGCCCGTAGCATTAGATGAGCTCCGTAGTACAATTAATAGTATTAAAAACAAATCCTCATCTGGGACTGATGGGCTTACTCTCAAAATGTTCTCTGAACTTCCTGAATGCACATTAAACCATCTTACTACTTTAATTAGCGAGTCATTCCAAAAAGGAGTTTTTCCAAACTGCCTTAAGACAGCAATAATTATTCCTCTGTATAAAGGAGGTGATAAAGATGAAGCTTCGAACTATCGCCCAATTGGACTCCTGCTCACATTATCTAAGATCATTGAAAGATTGGTTAAAAAAAGGTTTCTATCTTCTCTCGTTAAATATAAAATACTTACTACCCATCAATTTGGATTTCTAAGTAACAGTTGCACAAATGATGGGTATATATACTCTAGCCTGAATAACCATCACTCTACAGCTACAATTTTCTGTGATTTCTCTAAGGCTTTCGATTGTGTAAATCATAATATCTTAATTAACGAATTGCAATACTATAGTTTCAGGGGAGTGCCGCTCGAATGGCTTAAGTCATATCTTGGCAACACAAGGCAGCTTGTGAGGATTGATACGTCTATGTCTTCTGTAAGCCTATAGAACGTGGTGTCCGTCAGGGTTCAGTACTTGGCCCTATTTTGTTTCTGGTGTTTATCAACGACATTGCAAATCTAGACATTAGCGGTAAAATGTGCCTCTTTGCGGACGAAACTAGTTTCACTTGGAGCGGCCCAGATGTTGCGGCATTATATGATACTATATCCAGTGACACCGTTAAGTCTTGGTGCGATTCTAATCTCCTATGCCTCAACCTATCAAAAACTAAAGTTTTGTCATATAAAAGTACTATACAACCTTTTCTACTTAATAACACCACTATTGACGTCGTGGACTCTGTGAAATTCTTAGGACTTGTTGTAGACAATTTGTTAAAATGGGACTTTCACAGCGAAGCTCTATCAAAGCAACTAAGCGTTGCTTGTATTGCGCTAAGATCAGTTTATAAGGAACTTAACTTCTCAACCTCTAGGATAGCCTATTATGCCCTTTTTGAGTCACATCTTCGTTATGCCCTTCCATTCTGGGGTACTTGTTGCGCAACAAAATTTGATCGTGTTTTCAGACTTCAAAAGAGAGCAGTTCGATATTTATTGGGAAGATATTTATTGGGTTCGATATTTATTGGGACTGAACAGTAGAACTCACGGCCAGAATTTCTTTAAAAATTTGAAAATACTGACTCTTCCTTCTTTATTCATTTTTGAATCCGTTTGCTTAATCCGCAAGCACATATCTGCTATTCCCGAAAGACCATCTCATAACTATCCACTTGGGAATGCAGAGCAGAGCACGATCTTCATCTGCCAACCCCGAGCTCAAGAACTAGTTAAGGGTTCAATACTGTACAATGCCAAAAAAATGTACAATAATCTGCCCTTGAATATCAAATCGCTTTCATTCTTTCCCGCATTTCGCAAGGCTCTAAAATCATACCTACTGGAGAGAGCCCTATATGCGGGAAACGACTTTTTTGTTGATGTTTAATTATGAACAATTTTGAATTTTAAAATTTTGATCATCTCGCACACTGGTCAAAGGTCAAGTATTTAATATTCTATAACTTTAAAATTATATCTATTTACTGCGTACTGTTCTAAAATTGTCCATGTATATTATTTTTGTAATTTTAAAGACTTAAATTTTTTTGAATTGTATTATTTGTATTGTGTATTTTTTGTTGTTTGTATTTTTTTGTGATTTTGTTCTTTGTGAGTGCTTTGTCGATGAAGCTGTTTTGGCTTTTTGCACAATAAAGCGTTGTTTTTTTGTTTGCTGTTACTCATCACCTATTATCTCTATTAGGGTACGTTTATGTTGGAGCTGCGATAAACAATAAAAGCAGTGAATTAGCGTTGCTCTTATCGTTGCTCAACTGCCAAGCGTGTCTCGACGCGTTGTTCCAATATAAACACCTACATATAAATTAATATAATAATAATATTATTATATTAGCTATATTAATAAATAACTATCTAGCAAATACTTGTATTTTTGTCAATGATGACATGTATTGATAATTTCTATTTCAAATATCTTGAGAACGGTTGCTCGCAGCGATTTTTACCAAAACATATTTTTACAAAAAATAGCGGAAATATATGTAATTTTTCACTTAGTAGTTTAGGTACAGACGAAAAGTATATTATCCTCCAAAACAACTGTTACCAACATTATACCAATTTTCGTCCAATTATCGACCCTCGTTCAGAATTATTTGGAAAAAATCGAAATAAAAATAAAAGTTCTACTACGAACTTTTTTACTTATTTTCTATCTTTCTAAAACTTCATATTTAAAGATAAGGATAGGTACCTTATTAATTTCAATAGTCAGAATTGACCGAACCCTGAAATCGGTTGATTTGCACTGTTTAGGACTTATCAGGCGACTTTTCTAGTTTAATGGTTTGTTTACTACAAAAATTTTGCAATAAAAAATCAACTAAAGCTAGAACGACGATATTATTCTACGCCCACTGTGACGTCGTTTTCATTATACTAAAGTGAAAAAACGTGAGCGGCGGTAATAAATTATTTCTTTCTAAGCTCGATTTTCTTAATTTTCCGCCAAATTTATCTCGTTCAGTGGGTTATTTTATCTTGACAATGGCGATGATGGAACCGTTTCAATTTAGTTAAGTAGTTTTCCTAATTTTCTAAAAAGTGCTCGTCGACCGACAAAAATAAAGATCCACGAAATATTATTTGTTATCATTTTATGACGATGCGCCTGATTTTAATGAAAAGTAATGTTGGCTTCTGGAAAATATTAATAACATTTTGGGAAAGAAGATGTTTTACCGTGTGAATACCTAATGTTAGTGACACTATTAATTATAATAAAAACAGTTTAATATATTTGTATTAAGCAGACGGCTTTATTAGGCAATTTTTTGGCGAATTTTTTGAAAGCTTAATTATTAGAACGTTAATATATTTTGAAATATATTATTACCAATGCAATACAAGTTTATGTGCGTGGATTCTAATTCCCACAGTATAATGTTATAATTTTCTGAAAATATTTATTTATAATATCCAATCTCAAATTAAAGGGATCCCTTGTAAAAACGTGTTGGAAAGCTAATTAATGTTTTGTTTCCTAGGTTTGCACGGTTGATCGACCGCCGCTAGACCCAGGTGGTTCAAAAGATGGCAAAATTCTTGGATTTTTTTCAAATTTTTGTCTAAATTTCCTGAATTCTAGTGAACATTTCGTTACTACGCAGCAGTGGGACTCTGTGTCATGTAGAATTCTACATATCTTCAGAATTCTATAGGATCGGCACTCCGTGCAGCAACGATATAGATAAGATGCGATTATTTTGGTCGCTTGATTTCTACATTTCAATTAGGCATTCCAAACCACGTGATTTTAAAATGGCGGCTGGGGGCAAGGTCAATGAAGCCGATCAGCTGTTCTGTCATAATTCTATCGATTGAGGTTTTAGTTTTGTATTCAGTTTATATTTTTTTAATAATACATACCTATTGGGCCATCAGTATGTGTAAAAAATTATAGAAACAAATAAAAAGTATCTTTCTTATTGTTTATTCGACAATTGTATATTTTTGTTAAAGAGTATAACAGTATATAGTACATATTCGTTTATTACGATATATAAACAATAAGCTAATTTTGTAATTTACACTCGTGAAAATAAGAATTACAATATAATGTTATAAATAAATAAATATTTGAGTAACAATCAATAATACACTGCGATTCCTAAATGCCATTTTAAAACAATATGTTATATTTTTTAGAGCATCGCAGATGGATTGGACCATTCTATTTATAAGGTTTTATACCTTTTGTATAAATCATTATTGATTACTTTAAATGTTGTTGAAGCTGTAGCAAAAGACACTTTAAAACGATAACCCAAATCTTTTAAATTTGCTTAGAGCTGTCGTTTGTGTAAACGGTATGTAATCTGCAATCAGGCGAAATTACTAATTTTAGATGTTGCAAAACTAAGCTGCTCAAATTTGTTGCATAAGTCATCCATCGTGATGTATGTTTGTATACTAAAACTGTTGATTCGAACATCTGTTTCAATCACTCGATGAGGTTCTGCTTCGTGTTAAGAATGCCCTATAATAAATATCAAAATTAGTATATGTATTTTAAAATCTGAACAGCTTTTCTTCTATAGTCTGCCCTTAGTTTTCTCTCAATATCATCCTGTCTTTTTCTCAGATTTGTACAATTATGACCCATGTCTTGTGACGGAACCAACTCAATCTGGATGATTTTCATCTTCTAAACTAACAAGTTTTCCTAGAAATAACAATTACAAACTTGTAATATTCCACCATTATTAAAACAGAAATATCAATAAAGGATTTTGATTACAGACCTGTTAGAAAGTGTTTGCTACACACCCTCTGATTTTTTATTATAGACCACATTAAATCATCTCTTTTTATAGCTGCCATCCAAAGAGAACGACGAATATTGGGCAATTAATTTTGTTCTGTTAAGAAGCGGTGATTTGTGGTCGTAGGGACACAATAAATATATAAATTGTCTTTATTTGCTCGACTTCCGACACGTAATCGGCATGTAACAAAACGTCTTCAAATATTATGTTTCTCGCAGAATTTATATCCTGGCTATCAAAATTTACTATAATTGTGCTAACAGCTAACTACTGAGCCACAATATGAACTGAAAAACACTATAAAATGTATTAAATATAACTTAGCTCTGGTTTGACTACCACAAGGCCTAATGTAAATACAGCCATGTGTGCCCCCAGCGGCCATATTGGATCGATTTTGACAGGTCGTTGGAATGCCTAATTGGTATCGAATTCTACGTAGCGCACGCGTATTGAGAATATATTTGACATTTTTAAGGTTATTAGATTAAGTTATCTATTTTGTCTCAGAGGAATTTGCTAATCTAAGATTTTGTTTGTTGTTGTTTATGTTTTTGAGTTGTTGACAACTCTATTTTGTGTGACAGTTATTTAAATAT